GTGCCACACATGGCACTCTGATGGTCCACAGTGTATACTGGTGACTGGTGTAGAGAATAGACACTGGCAGTAAGTTTTTACTCAATTTTCAGTGATTCTACCAATTCTCCAGGATTAGACACTTCTTGCAGCCCTTGACTTAACAGCTGTAGATGAAATCTCTCCAGCAAGTTGCATACCAAGCCTCCCCTTCCTGTACAGACAGGACAGTGGATTCTCTAGAAGGAGGGTTAACCAATCCTTCTGGCCCTTAGAGTATATAGAGTCCATGGTCACTTAAATATCCTGTGAAAATATCTTTAGTAGTTATTTTGTTGTTGTTGTTGTTGTTTGATTTAGTGTGCCCAAGAACATTTACTTTTATTTGTTTTAATTAGTTATATGTGAAAATGGAATTCATTTTGACACATCATACTTAAATGGAGTACAAATTCTCATTCTTCTGGTTGCACATGATATAGAGTTATTCTGGTCATGTAATTATATTGTAATGGGCCAGGCTATCTGGATAATAACCAATCAGACTCCATTTTTCCCTGAGACTCCACATCATGTAAGAAATGCTTCTCCCAGGGAAATCTCCACCTCTACCCATCAACAGTTGCTTAGCCTAGAATGTTTGGCAATATAAAATGGCAATTCTTATACATTGTAAAAGTGTTTTCTTTTTGGTTCCCATTTTTCTTGGACAGTGTGTTCTGTCAAGGATTGATTATCTAGATATTAGTAACCATTCTTTACCATGTACATGACATTTTTGTCCATGCTGGGTGAACAAACAACAACAAGTAACATTGTCTTTAAAGTTACCAATGCAGTTTTTTTCTGGGTCATCAAACAGTTGTTGAAAAAATGTGAATGTCTAAAAAAGGTCTAACATCCATTTTTTCTAGTATTTTTCCTCAACTGAAAAAAAAAACTGATACTGTTCAGTGCATTTCTCTGATATGTTTGATTTTAAAAATAAGTAAATTTTATTTAACATATATAGAATTAATTTTAAATAAGTTTGTTAAAGACAACTAATTGGCTTACAAAGTTAAAATGTTAACTGACAGGAGAAAAGAGTGGTGAGTGGGTGAAGGTAACCATGGCTTCAGGAGAGGAGGAAGGAGGGGGGTGAGAGGGATGGAGGGGGAGGGGAAAGGTTGTGTCAGTAGAAGAGGTGGGCAGAGGAGCCTTGGCTGCATGAGAAGAGGGAGTTGTATGGAGCGAGGGAGGAGGAGCTGTGCTGGCAGGAGGAGGGGTGGAGGGGTAAGAAGGGGTGGCAGGAGCAGATTGGTGTGTATTGGGAGGGGGAAGACAGGTAAGGTAGGGCTGAGAGCAGCTTGGGTGGTTCTGAGGATGTGGAAAGAGAGGTTGAAGAACAATGGGAAGGAGTTTGGGATTTTCCTAGCAAGGAAGACTGGATCAGGAGAATAGAGAGAACAGAGAGGAGGACAGAGCAGAGAGTAGAGGGAAGGACAGGATCATATCTCAAAAAGCCTGAATGTTTTTGCCCACTTTTCTGTCCAGCAACAAAAAATTGTCCAATTCAGTGAGGGTTTCAAATCAAAGTTCCTTCTGGCAGCCATTGTGACTCATTGTTTAAGTCTGGTTCTTTTTCAAACATTTTCTATCTGGGTTCATGTTCTGCCTTAAACCCCTTCAATCTTTCAGCTGAATTCTCTCAGATTCCATTGATATTTTTAAAAGATTAATGTTTTGCATAGTTTTTCTGGCAAGTTCAAATATTTGGCATCAGTGCCAAGAAAATTATAGAACGTAGGAGGTGTCAGGTTTCCTTGTATTGTGAAATTTCTTGTATTTGTGCTAAATTTGCCCTGCCAATGAGATGGATGTGTCTCTGCTATTTATTTCTTTATTTATATATTTTTAATCTAGGATGGAACACAGAGGAGCTTAAGCACTGAGCCATTTTCATTTTGAGAGAAGCTATCACTAATTTGAATAGGGCATCACTATGTTACAGAGGCTGGATTTGAAATTTCAATCCTCCTACCTCAGCCTCCCATCTTCTGTGTCTCACATTTGTTTTGGATCCATTCTTATCATCTGCCTTTTCCTAGTGCAGTGGTTGAGGATGGTTTGGTGTGTGGTGTTGAGTTTCACTCCAGGTGCACTCTATTGCCTCTATTCCCTGTTGCATCTCTAGCTGTGACTAGTGAGGACTAACCCTGGGCATTGAGTTCCACAGTGTGAAGGAGTGGAGTTCTCTGTTTGTCAAGAGAGTGGGGAGCCTCTGGTGTTCCTGTGGTGTGATGTAGACAGAAGGGTCTGTGGGTCATGCCTCTCTACTTCCTCCTGTAGTTGGTAGGGAAGTGACTACCACTAGAAGAGGTTTTCTTGAGCACTGATGGACATTGGTTTTGTTCCTTAAAATCTCATTTTGGAACAGATATGTGTATGCAATTATCCAGACAGCTCTTCTGAGGAATTGGAATGCTTATGACAGAAAAAAGATGTGACTCAGATGCCAATTCTGTGTCCAAAAGAGACTGAAAATGAAAGAGCTGCCAAAAAGAGTGAGCCCAATTTGAGGGCCATATTGTTTTGAATATTGGGAATTAACTTCACCTAAATGTCCAAGATTGGTAGAAAATTGAAGGGAAAGGGGCTCAGAAGTACCTTGAAGGTGACTATTGGGAGACAGCTTCCCCAGGGAGAGTATAGGTGACTCATTCAATGTAATTATGTTCTCACTTTTGTCTCCAAAGTTATTCACCAGTTGAGTAAATCTTGAAGAGTTATTTGGAGACTGTGTGATGCCTGTAGTCTCAATCAACATGGAACACACAAAATATGACTCACACCCTAAAATTTAGGTAGGGAAAGAGCTGGGTAGGCAGATAGGAGACTTGCACTCATTAAGGTCAAGTTTCTCCTAACAGAAAGACGGCAGTGGAACAGAATACAAAGACCACAGATGCAAGGCTGAGCTTCAAACAAAGGGTGAGACATCTGTTAAAAAGGGATAAACTTCAATGAAGTGACCTTAACATCAGGGGAAGAAATGACACATGAAGAGCATATTGTCCCTGAATGCCTTACCAAGAGTGTGCTGTAGGCTATTTTCTTAAGCCTTAGATCCTTATAAAACCTGAGACAATTGCCACTCATTGGCAACCCTCTCTTGGGACCCCACCCGTGCAGGAGTTCTGCTTTCTTTATATTGTTTTTGTATAATCTGACACTTTGCCCTCACCCTTTCACTATTTGTGTCTGTGAAATTCCTTCAATGGATGAACAAGGCAAAGAACACAGTCAATTCCATGGTGTGTGTCACAAAATAACTGAAGACTAATTATGTCAGGAAACTAGATTGATATAGGAAATGATATTACCTACTGCCCAGCTCCACATCCTGTCTGTCCCCAGAATGGGGCTGCAGTTGAACCCTTATGAGATCATTCAGACCTCACTAAGAAGAATGCATTCTCCATTTTGAAAATATGAAGACAGCACTCAATATTCTTTACAGCTGCTGAAATTAATTCTGGCCTCCATGCAGGAATTCCCTTCTTCTAGGACAACACCCTCTCCTCAGGACCCTTCTCATACATTCTAGGCAGAAGACTCAATCCTACTTAAGACATAGAAAAGCCAGAGATCAGAAGTGCAACTCATGGATAAGTGGACAGGCCCTCATGAATTTCCACTAACCACGCACTCACACATTTCTAACCCTCATTCACCACACCTGAAGAGGAAAGACACCACCAGAAAATGATTGTCCTGCTCGTCCTGGGAATCCACAGTCCCTGGTTAGCTGACAACCCCTCTACAAATCTCACATGTCTGTTCAGGAAACAAGCCCCAGATGGAACATACCAAGCTTTCATGTGTTCAATTACTGTTCCTCTTGACCTTCTCTATCCCTCCCTCAATCCAGGTCAGATTCCTTTCCACCTGGTTACAGATTGGGCTCTCAGTTTCTGATCTCCATCATCAGGTAGATGGCTGGGACTTCAGAGAGCTCCCTCTGCTGGACACTGACTAACTTGGAAAATTCAGGCAGCCATTCAAAGTACCTGGCAGCAGTTTCCTAACTGGCTCAGATCAGGGGGGAATGCTGCCATGCTCAACACAAAATGCCTCCTTCCCCCTTCTAACCAGGAGAATCCTGAGATGTTAAAAATCAAGGCTGAGAAGAGAAAATATGTCTCTTCTAGAAAGAGAAGGATTCAACACCACTCCAGACAAAGGCAATGGAATAGGTAATGGAGCCAGATGGCTACTGGCAGGAGAAGCTGAATGGGTGAGAGATCCACCTCATGTATTGGTACACTACATGACTTTTGTGGGACTCTCCACCGAGTAGATTGGGCTCCCCAAAGATGTGGAATGCAACCATCACTCCAAAGGAGACCATGTGCCTTGGCCTATAGATGCATTCTTGCAAAATAAAGCATCCCCTTTTCTGGTCTATTCAAAATATTTCTTGAGTTGAAGGGATGCTGGCCCCTGATCTAGTGCCCCAGCTATAAATGTAAAGGGAAGACTCATACTTGCTGTATGAGCTGCCACTTGTCACTCACTTCCTTGGTCTTGAAGGGTCTGCATCATCTGTCATATCCACTAGTGGCCCTACTGCCCACACTTTGCCCTTTCTGAGGTGGCCTCTTTTTGATCCTTTGTGCAGTTTGTGAGTCTTGGGCCAATCACCATCACAAACACCTTAAAAGAGAGTGCAGGCCTGGCA